GGTGGAAATTTACTTTACTTTTCTAAAATAAAAGTAACCTAAGTTACTCCTTCTTACATCAGCTACCTGCCAAAAAAGTCCTGTCAAAATCAGTCTAGCCATTTCAGAGATTAGCCGGAACAAACAAACTGACAGACGGACAGACAAAAATGGTAAAAGGTATTATTTTGGTGTATGTACCGTATTTATATTCATATGCATATAGTAAAAAATGGTTATATAAATATTACAACAGACACGCAAATTTTATTTATATATATAGATATCCATTAATCAAATTAAAAACAAAATTGGAGTTGTAGCTTATTAACATTTTAAGAGAACGATGGTAGATCATAAGAAGTGGTAAGAGGTCCACGAGCGAGGCTCTTAAATTTTGAATGAATCAATGAAATATTTATATATAATTTTTAGATGAATGTTTACAATATGTTAATTTGTAAAAATAAAAAGTACTTATATTTATATTTATTCTATATACACTTTTTTATTATTTTTTATGCCCTTTGGGAAATATAACCACCTGCTCAAGACTAGAATAGGGACTTTATTTGTAATTTATTCTTATATAATATTATTCTTATTCTTATAATCTTATTATTTATTACATGATGTCATAATCAAAAAGTATAAAAGAAAATAATTCACGTATTTTACTGGAATTAATGGAATCGTATGATAAACACATATATTCACATAGAGATAGTGTGGTAATTTGGACAAAATATTGTACCGTATATAATGGCATTATAAATGATTAAATTTCATAAAACAACCGTTTAAAAATCATAACTTTCAGTAAAATATTAAGGGCAATTATTCTTCAACGTATCCAATAATATGCATGAATTAGTAATGCTTCAAGACAACACCTTTAACTGACTTAAAGGACTTGAAATTGCAATTTCCAAACTGTCATCCTATTAACATATATTTAAAACAAATCTTTACTGCATGGTAATAGGATCCAAAATTGATACCTCCAGGTATGTAATATCTTGCAGCTTTTAAGACGTCGTCAACACGAAATTATTTTAAAGCAAAATAATCGTTACTGAAGTATGCTCAGAATATGTTCCTAATTTGAATAATATATTTTTTCTGAATATATAAGTGCGTAATATCCCGATGCTCTGTATAATCGGTTTATAACAACATCGTTTAAACCATACGTCTTATACTGTTGTGCTTTTTCCCTTGGGCGGAATATCGTGCAACTAAAACCAAAATATTAAACCTCCATCATCAACCTTGTGTTCTACAGGATAAAGTAGAAATTAGTATTTGCTATGCGCGATGATAGCAAAATGTGTTGTCACGGTAGTAAATATTTTCACAAAATGGCGTTCCGGGAAACATTATTCAGAATTACATACGCTCTGTTCCCATTTCTGTATGACCAGTAGCGTCTTGACAATCTTTTTAAAGTACTCATTACCTATCCTCCGTTTCTTTAAAAGCTTGATAAATTATTAATTAGACGATTTTCAGAACTCTTTGGGTCGTAAGAAGCGAAGCGGGCCGACGAATTAATGCGATTCGTTATGTTGCTTCGTAAATAAATATTCAAGAAGTATTTTTGAGTGCCATCTCTACGTTAGAAGCAAGGTTTCCTTATGACGACTAATAAGAAAGCTACTTTCGATGTTGTTTATTTTACATTTATTAAAAGAGTACTTAACATTTTGAACTTAATAGGAAACTTAATTTAAATTCCGAGTGCAGTGATACCTTCCTCTGAAAGAATTTTTTTTGTGAAAGATACTTGTTTAAAATTCACTTAGTTTAAAATTCTAGTGTCTATTTAGCTTACATTATATACAGTGTTTCTATTCTATATAGTTAGTTGTATATGATAGTGAAGTTATAGGGTATTAGGACATGTCTACTTAGTCCTAAAGAATAGCACGAACATATAGGCGAGGGTTGCCCCTTGTGTTTATCGTTACAGTAACTAGATCTCAAAATGAAACATAAATAACTTTTGCACCTACTTCTGTAACTCACTAACATGTAACTTCTTCTTTTATACTGTGGTATTTAGGCTATATACGCATAAAATATAAAACAAAGCGTTTTTGTCTGCATGTCTTTCTATTTCTTATCTTTTCTTTAATAAAGGGATCTTAATGAAATTTTACCTGAAGATATATTGTATAACGAGAACGGACCCAAATACATATCTTTATCTAAAAAAAGCAGATACAATAATAGGCAATAATTACTTTATATAAGAAAAATATTATGTACAAATAGAAAGTCTTTTTTACAGTTGATGTTCATCACCATTAAAAAATACTTTCTATTTGTACATAATATTTCTCTTATTATATTATGCTCTATTGGTTCCCAATAGATGATGATAAAATAGAATGAATTCAGATCATCGTTGTTTCCTGGAAAACTTCGTAGTCAAACCTGACAGTATCCTGGGTCCACCTTAACTGGATGAACATAACACAAGATCTGTTCTTAGGACTAGATGCGGCTGTGTAAATTGTCCAGAGTTATTATTAATTATCATCATCATCATCATCTGCTTCTTCCATTTATTTGAGGTCGGCGAAATATGGTTTTCTCTTCAATTCATCCCTATTCCCATATCAATATGAGCACGTTTTCGGTCGATACTCCTCCTAAAACACTACACTTCCAAATACCTGACACGTCAGTTGTTTACCGACAGTGAACTTATAGCACCACGCCTTCATTTCTCGCGCCAAGGTAAGGTCACATAGGGCCTCTATGAGTGATGTTGACGCGAGCCCCCTTTGACTTTCAGTCGCTCAAATGTCCATCTAGCCCGAGGCTCGTTAACATCTATAGTCGTGGCTACAAGTGAATATTTAAATTGTACTTGATACTTTATTTTCTTTATGTTAAATAAGGAAATGTCTCCACTTGATGGAAGGTAACGAAAGTCTGAAATAAAATTGTAATCATTTTGACTTTATTTTATTTTATTAATGACAAATACACACAAAGAAGAATATTTTCTTCTTTATGTTGAAACTATTCATATAATTAGACTAGCACATCCACCATATTAAATTACAATTTTCTTCGCAAAATGTGAGTATATCAAATGATGTATATACTGCAACGATCACCTTCGACCATACTTCAACTATTTGCGATAGTAGTAATGAAAATATTAATTTTTAAATAAAACATAACAACGTACTAACTTACTAAATTGTACATATTAATTTATAACTTTCAGTAAAAAGCTTATAACAGTATTCAACTTAACATATTTTATATTTTTACCAGTGTTGTTGTAAGTACATGATCAAAGTACAAAGTTCCGACTTCCGGAAGCACAAGGTATACAAAATGTATATGAAGATAGTCTCGACTATAAATCTGATGCGCATCACCCGTCGAGACGGCCGCGCCGCCAGCCATAATGATTCATTAAGTGCCTCCACGGGATTACCTTTTTGTAATTGACCGATGATGCGAGAGCCGTATCACTGCTTCTCTTTTACACGGAGCGTAAGTCACAAGCGACAACCGTAGAGTAAATTAAAATATTACAATTTTTTTTACGAATTATAAATAAATTTGTACACTCGCCTGCGTTAAACCGTTAAAGTTTACATCTTATTCCATATATACATACCACTGGTGTCCACCAGTGGTATTTGATAAGATGAACACGAGGTCAGATCAGTTAGTTCATCGTGACAAATTCACCAGGAATTTATCACAAGGAAAACCGCATGGAGGTCAACCTGACATGGTGTATTGCTAGCAATAGGGTTACCACACTACAATACTAACAATCCTCTTTCATTTCAACAATATAATTATATTGACGAAGTATTTTACGTATTATTGATATAGATAATTTCATGTTAGTTCTTAAGGCTTAAGTTTATTCAATTTTAATTCTTATTTCAATTCCTAATCAAATTAACGCCAGTGCTTAATTTATCATTCTGTAAGTTAATTCTCATTTATTTTATAAAAATATGCTTTTAATGGAATGAGAGTATCAAAATCGGAAGAAAGAAATAAGAACTGGAACATATATCACATTATATAAAACGAGTATGTTACACATAAAAAAATATATTATATATATCAAGAAGGCAGGTTACAGATAAAACATAATCATTTGAAAGAAAGAAAGAAAGAAAGAAAATTGTTTAATTGGTACACTGAAAATAATTTTTAAAATTAAGTTTACATTTTATATTAATAATTAGAGTACCAACTAGGTCTCCGCTCAGCATATGTCGTGACGGGGTGCCACGACGCTGGTTTTCAGCGGACACCTTATATACAATAAATATAATAAAATAATAGTAATAATACACATACATACATAAATCCAGGCGGACAACACAAAGCAAACATTTACGACATAATACCATATATAAATAAAAACCAAACATAAACTACACACTGAAAACATAAAATAAACATAAACATAAATTCTGGTGATACTAGGATACCCTGCATTACCCCGCTCTTGGAGTGCAGACACATCACGGCACAGTTTTCTGAGTGAGGAGGAGTATTTTTTTAAATTTATTTTTAAAAATCTGCACAGTTAAGGAATCTTTTATAGGAGGAGGTATATTATTCCAGCACTTCGTAGCAGAATAGCGAAAACTACCACGAAACGCTGCCGTTCTATGTGAGGGGCACATCAAATGAACGCCGCGTGAATGACGACTACTGAAATTCATTTTTTCGTAAAGATATTCGGGAATCTTTTTTTTTACAACTTCAAATAGTAAGCTGGCAAAGTGTAGTTTACGCCGTGTTTCCATACTCATAAGGTCTTTACTATTTAAATATGGTGATACGTGGGCTCTGCGAGGTATCGGAAAACAAAATCTTGCACAAGAATTTTGAACGCGCTGTATAATCTTTTTTGTGCGAGCTAAAAGACAACCACCTATGACTGTGTCCGCATAATTCAACTTGGATAAAATCAAAGATTCGCATAGATAAATTCGCATGTCCACGGATAAATACTGTCTAACCTTATATAATACCCTCAATCTGTAATAACATTGCTTAACAATATTATTTGCGTGTTTCTCAAATCTCAGATTGCTGTCCATCAATACACCCAAATTTCTAGCCTCTGATACTTGCTGAATATTAGCATTTTTTATAGTAACCACGGGGCCGTAACTATTAATTACATCTATTTGTTTTTTCGATCCAAGAACAATGAATTTAATTTTGGACGGATTTAAAACTAGACCGTTTTTTTCCGACCACTCTGCAATACGGTCCAATTCTTGGTTAATTTTACGCACAGCTGTCTCGGTTTCAGTGGGTATGAATGATTTGTAAACCTGGAGATCGTCAGCATATAAATGATATTCAGTATCTAATATGCATCCAGGTAAGTCAGCAGTATAAAGAATAAATAGGAGAGGTCCTAAAATAGAGCCTTGGGGAACTCCTTTATTTATAACAGCAGCGGCAGATACATTCCTTATACCATTGAGATTAGTCACTTCCACCCTCTGAGAACGATCCGATAAATAACTATAGAACCACTTCAGTGCAATATCATCAAACCCGTAATATGTTAATTTCGCCATAAGTAGTTTAGTATTTAAAGTATCAAATGCGCGGGAATAATCAAGCAACACCAGAATTGCTCCTAGTCCGATGTCCTGGCCGGCCAGTATGTCATCAACCACATTCAAAAGCGCAGTAGAGGTACTCCTACCAGCTCGGAAACCTGACTGTTTCTGAGGTAAAATGTTATTTATATTAAGATATCCTCTTAACTGCATACATACTGCTTTCTCTATAATTTTTGATAGAAATGGTAGAATGCTAATTGGTCGTAGATCTTTTAATTCAGTGGGTTGACTGACTTTTGGAAGAGGTTTTACTATAGCTTCTTTCCATAGATCTGGAAAAATGCCACTAATCAGCGATGTATTAACAATATGAGTAATCACACCCAATGTTCTTGGCAATGTCATAAGTATCATTTTTAAAGTTATACCATCTGCTCCTTGTGCGTTAGTTTTAATACTATTTATTATTTTTAATACAACTGATTCATTTATCTCTTTCAAGCTGAATACCGCAGGGCAGAATCTATGATAATAAAAATACATTAATTGAGATATACTAATACTGTCATTGCCAGGGACACCAAGAAAATGATCATTAATGAGATCAGCGTCACCAAGGTGTTGTGGTAAATCGGAGCAATCCTTTTTAAAATCAACAATATTACGTTTTACGTTCCTCCAGAGGTTACGTGGATCATTCATGTTCTTATTTATGTAATATCTATAATACGCTCTTTTTTCGTTATATAAGGCAACATTAACTAAACTTTTAAGTTGTTTATAGTACTCTTTATCGACCTCCAATTTCGTACGATGACTTTTTGCGTGAGCTTTATCTCTCAATCTCATCATATCTTTAATAGTTTGTGTTATCCATGGGTAACTCCGGTCCTTTAAATACAATGTCTTCACAGGCGCATGAATATCAAATAAGGCACTAATAAGCATGTTAAAAACAGCGACTGACTCATTAATATTGCCTTTCATCAATAGTTCCCATGGTATGCAATTTACATGTTCATTGAAAACGTCGATGTCAATATCACCGAGAGGCCTGTAGGTTATCCATCGAGGCACTGGTTTAGGTTTCCTTACATTCAATTCACAAGAAATAAAGGCATGGCTACTGAGATCTGGCACATAGTCAATTATAACATTCATAACCCTACTGCTGCTGCATATTACGTCAAGTAAAGTCTTCGAATGATCAGTAAAATGAGTTGGTTTCGTTACATATTGGCGAAGATTCATATGTTCCAAAAATTCTAATAATTTAATTGCGCTACCATCACAAGATCCCAGCATATTAATGTTAAAATCATTTAATAACTGTCAATAAAAATAGTAGCAGTCTCTTTAAAATTAATATTAGATCGTAACCAATACTTATACTTCCTTGTCCAATAGTTTGGTTATTTAGTATTGTTCTAATTTTCATATTAGTTTTATTCTTACACCGTGTATCAACTAATATAGTGTTATATATTACTCATGAAAAAAAATATTTTCAATGTTTTTGTTTATTTTGTCAAACTCGGATTACTAATAATATCGCAACAAATAATAATACAAAATGGGGTTGACATGTTTGAAAATAAAAACCCAAAAATAAAATTAGATAGGAAAACAATATACAATACAAGCACTCTTTTTTCTTACTTTAATATTGCCAAAATCACAGATAACATGATATTACATAGTAAAATCGTCTAAACCCCGATGGAGGCATAGATATAAAATAAAATAATTTAATGCGCTTTTAAATTAGACCAAACAACAATATGCATATACCGGCGTTCGTTGACCATAACTGACCGAGACTTAACACCATGTGAATACAGCAAAAATTCTGTATAACAGCTAATATTGACAGCACGCGTCACTTTTTTGTTCTCACTAGATTAAAAGGGTATATATCTAAAGTCAGAAAAAAATTAAATTACTTCATGGTGTTTGCGTTACGAGGTTTTTATATAATCTTTGTGTTTTGTTCTTTTCTTTACCTATTGGATATTATTCATTTGCTAGTAAAGTTATTGTATCACTAAGACATTAGCAAGACAATAGGATTTCAATTAAAAAATATACTTTAATTATACAATCCTAATTAATGGCTATATGACCTAAAGCCTGTGAAATAATGTAAAACTAAGATTAACAACTACCTGAAAACCAAACCCAACAATTGTCTAATTAGATAATTGAAGGAACCGCTACCGATAAAAACCAGGTATGAAGAACCAGTGAAGAAAGTTTTATGAGTGAATATACACAATGCAATTTGAAGGGTGATCTAGCGTTTTAGTACACTACTTTACATCCTATAGTTGCAAGTTCGATTCCTCGCATGGTAAAAACATTTGTGTTCATAATTGTTTGTAACAGTGATATCGTGTCTGGGTGTTCATCTAGGTATATTATGTATTTATTTACTAAAATACGACATTTTTTTAATATTCTTTATTGCACTTATATAAGTGCAATAAAAAATATTAAAAAATGTATTTACATTTTTTAGATATATTAATTAGAACTAATGTTAACAAAGAAGAAGCATTTTAGTAGTTATCTAGAGCCTATAGCTAAGCTTATCATGGACTATATAGTACTATATGGTGCTATGTGAATTGTTCAGTGTTTATTATATTGTATTATTATTATAATGTGGGTAAAAATAGATTAGTAACACTAGAAGTACACATACTTCAGCAGTAGATGATCAATAGATAGGTTAGAAATCATTTTATATAGGCCATCTTCATTTGATGATAATGACAGTGTACCAGCTATAATATGTTTTATATTAACTGAGTCCGCGGTTTCTCCTTCATAAAATTAATAGACTATCTGATATTTTGATATATAAGCTGTAACTGTAAAGTTTTATCAAAATCCGTTCAGTAATTTTTGCCTACTCAAAAACATTCGCGTATATAATATTAATAAGATTAATGTAGTCGATACATAAAATATAATTCTGTTAAATAACTCCAAGAACTTTATAACACTTGAAAATATAATTCACTCAGGACTACTTAGCGCAACGACGCAGAAATGCATTTGCATTTTCAATAAAAAAAAAAAACAATAATGGGGATTTCGTAAATCGGACTTCCGAAAGCAATAACTGTATATCGGTAAAATGTCTTAAGTAATACTCTTACAAGCCACAATGGATGGATATTACGAAATGCATGTAAAAATATAAGACAAAGAAGACACTTAACAGTTTCGGTTTACACACGTAATAATTCCCGTTTAACACAATACGGGAACCAAATAAATCCATTAAACTCGCAGCAGTATAAATTGAAATATCAAATACGTATAATCTGAACACAGCAATGCTTTTTATTTCACAATACATATCTACGTATTTTCGGTAGAGCCTCGAAATACACCGTTCGGGACTCGGGAGACATTGAAAGTTTGGAAAAGGGGACAGTTGAAGAAGTGAATGTATTTTTTAAACAAAAAGTAGACATTGACCTCGGTGGTCTAGCAGTTTAGCACACCGCCTTACTTCCAATGTTCGCGGGTTCGATTCCTCTTATGGTACTAGCATTTGTATTCATGAGTATGATTATTTGTAACGATCTGGATGTCCTGATATATTATTAATTTTATCTTCACAAATATTATAACGAAGGAGTGGTTTGTGTACAGCTTAGTAGACAATATTTAGTTTGTATTACTGGTCCTAATTCATTGTAGTCTTATATCTACGATTATATTGGAGTAACTATGTAACTGTATCCCATAGTAAACATCGGAAGTAGGTACAGATTTGAGAAATTATTTCATTGCTTCAAAGTTACATTATTCTTGAGCGTCAGGCTATCTACTTTATAACTTTTGTATAAAGATCTTTTACTTCAGCATAACGTAGCCTACCAAGCACTGTCAGTGTCATAATTTTCCAGCTGTGGTTACTCATTCAACCATCTGGTTGGTATTCTGCCTACTTTGTATATTCACAAAATTTTGAGTAGCCGGGCATAACCGTGGCAGATCACTAGTTATCGCAGTTTGAAGAAGCTGGTTTATGAAACTATATGTGTATATATACGATGGCACGAATACTTACATTGTAAAATTGTGTTGAAAAGTCCCCTATAGACTAGCCCAATTTTAGTTGTCTGTAAAATTAAATAAATTAAAATATTTAAATTCCAAATAACCAAAATATAATTGACTATAAGCATTTAAATTTTTCGGATTCAACGTTTGATATCGTTTAAGGCTCCTAATAAAAAGTTATTCTTATATTTCGATATCATACTGTGGAATGACCGCGTACATTTTCCAAATGTTTTTGTCTTCATTAGCCGTAAAAGCATGTAAAATATATTTATTTGTTGTTCAGTTCCAAATACACACAAAGAGATAAAGAATTCTCTGTGGTCATTTACTTTTATTTGGTGAATATAAAAATGAGCACTAAAACATGCCAAATAAAGGTGTAAATGTCTGTATCGATGTATCTTTAAGTCTTAAAACCAAAACCTTGTATTCAAAGATTTTTAAGATTCTGGTTTCCCCAAACAATGAATACAAATGTATGTATTCACAAGTACTTATTGACTGAGAAATTACTGTAAATGTCATGAATGAAGAACAATTTAAACATTAATGTATGTATATGAAGCAAGAGTACTTGTAAATATAGATTTTTATGCATTTATGATGGAAACTAAGCTGATAACCCACCAAATGGTTAGTAGTACCACAGATAAGATAATATTATATAGTAGTACTATATATACTAACGAAACTACTGACATCAAATGTTTATGTAACGCCGTGATACATCTATTCGATGCAATTCCAAAGGACTAATTTATAATTTCACTGCCTCCTCTCACCCTACAACCCAGATATAGTTACCATAACGAAAATGTTTATTCCAAACGGTGGACTTTTTGCAATATCATTTATATACTAAAATATATTTTATAGCTATATAAATTTACTCAAAACTAGTATATATATATATATGTATATGTTTGTTGCTGGCAGCTTTCTTTTTATAAACTTTTTAATATCTGTTTTTTATATGTGACTTTTACTAGTTCTTGTTACCCTTCGCTATGAACCCATTTGGGAAATATACACGTTTATAATTATTATTTGATTTTTAATAAAATATTCGTTGTATCCCCGCTCCAGTCATAACGTTTTCAAAGCATGTGAATTAAGGCATTTTTTTGCAAAATTATATTATACTTAAACATAATTTTATTCCTACTATAATCTATAATCCCTACGAATCTCTATAAACATAATATATATTGTTAGTTTCTAAGGAGCTTACGTACGCTCGTAAAAATCGCATTTGAATAGTCGTTCGTGCATTGAGCTTTACTAATTGAGATGTCCCGACAACTGAGCGCGTGATTAGACGCTCATAAATACTTCAGTTAACACAAAGCTGCGTTCTCGTGACGATTATGAATTTGTCATGCGACGGCACGCTGCGTTTAGTGTGCGTGTGTAGATGGACCTTTATTATTGAATATGTACATATTACATAACAGTTTACTAAACGGTTTATTTGCACGTACTTGGCTACATGTAAGGAAATAAGAATTTTTATCGTACATCTTTACGAGCCATTTATACCAGACATAAAATATATTAAATGCCGAAAAACAAATATGACTTAGTTACTTTATATAAGCATTTTGTAATGATTGTTTTATTATTTTTAGAATAGACTTTAACATACTAATATTGTAAATTCGAAAGTAACTCTGTCTGTCTCTCTGTCGGTCGCGCTTTCACGTCAAAGCTACTGAACCGATTTAAATGTAATTTAGTACACAGATACTCTAAAGTCTGAGAAAGGATATAGGCTACTTTTTATTAAGAAAAAAGGGTAGTAAGTTGAAAGTAAATATGATAGGTTGTATGGAAGTATCGTTATTTTTAAAGCTAGAAACTTGAAACTTATTTTTAGGCTATAGATTAAATATAAATAAATATGACATTCAAATTTTTAAGGATTATCCTTAGATAAAATAGGGGATGAAATTTTGTTTGGAAATTCGACATTTTTGAAGCTAGAATGCTGTCATGCGTGTCTTATTTGTAAAATAATTAGCCTAAATAATTAAAATTCATATCCAAGGCCATTGTTCCACGCAGACGAAGTCGCAGGGATAGTAAGTGAAAAATATAATTTGTACAATATATTTTTTGTATGTTTTTTTCTTAATATATTTGGTTCTGTCTAGAATATTAATTTTGTGTATTGATCAATCAGACAGCACAGAACTAAAATCTCTTAGATATTCAAAATAGAA